GTGAAATTAGTTTTAGTTGCTTATATATAAGTTTAAAAGGAGTATTTTTACTGATAATATAGATTTTTTTTTTAATCATTCTCCTTTCACTTCCTTTGAACAACTTTGATTATTGTGCTAGAAAATTTACCAAAAGAAATAAGGATTTTCAGCTGAGAAGTTATTCTTCGATATGGACGTTTCGCATAAGCAATTTCTCACCGCATTATTATGTGCTTCACACTTCTTATTTTCTTGTTTCATGAAACTGCATGCATGGTTAATTAATTAGATGCCCATCCTAACCTTGCCGACACAATTTCAACAGTTTGAATGTAGACTCTTTCCACTCACTTTTTGAATTAGCTCAGTGGAGGTTTAAAAATGATTTTATATTTAATTATAACGTATTTATTTATATGAAGTTTTTTGAATTTGAAGTATGGATATCTCATTTATATTGTTCTATATTATGAATAATTGGAATGAAACATCAAAAGGTTGAATCGTGTTATGATGCCAATAATCAACTAAAGATTAATATATTAGAGAGAACCTATAAATACTTATATATATATATATTTAAAAAAAAGTGAACATCAAGGAGTACTTTTTATAGAAAAAAAAAGTATGCCCCGCCGAAAAATGAGTATAATATGAAATGAAAAGGAATTGTAAAAAATTTAAAACAAGATTCACGCATGCATATATTCTGATTTATAAGGACACATGGAGTCTTCCTATTTCCGTGTTGAAAGCTCTATCACCTATATGTTGTGCTGGTCAATCCCATATTCTTAAGTGGGATTCGATCTAATCCACACAAAATGGAATAAAAATTCAAATAAATCAAATTCAATGTATTAAGGATATAGCTCCGTGCTGTATGTGGGCGTGTTGTGTTGTCTTTGTCAAAGTGTATGTATATAGGACCATGAAAAATGGATAAAGAACCATATAGGCCAGAATGAGAATGGCAAAGCAAAGGAACACCACTTTTTTATAAGCTAACATTGTATACTATTTAATAATTGTGTAATTGTACCTTTGTGAAGCTATTTCATACATTTGGATAAGTTAACATTGTATACTATTTAATTTATGTCATCGTACCTTGGATACTCAAACTCAAATGTCCTTTTCAACGGGTGAATAAAAACGACGTGCACTAACTTGTTTTTTCTTCTATAAAAAGAAAGGAAAGTACTTAGAAATATGTAAATTTTAGTGTTCTAAAACTATCAATTATTGGAAACTAAAAGGATTTTTAAAATCTATGGTTCTCACATAATAAAGGAATAATGCATAATTTTTTCATAGCAAAAATATCTTTAAACTTTACGGTACTTTGATCTTCTTGAAAAAAGAAAAAAATCAAGATTTTTCACTTCTTTTGATCTTTTCTTCTACTCTTTCTATCTTTTGTGATAGTCAAAATTTAAAAGAATATTTTTTTATCAAGGAGGGAACCTTGTTTTACGTTAGTAGATATTTATAATTCCTTAAAATTGTTATTCCTATTAAATAATAATTATTCTCATAAATTGCTCCATTTACAATTTAGTCTTTAATTATTTATTTATTAATCTTTTTATATGTCATGCCTCTAATATGAGACACAAGTATTTATTTAGTCCAAAAAAAGTCCCTCAACTTCTCTATTAAAAGGCACATTTTTGAGAGAAAAAAATTATTAAAATTCATGTGCATATCACATATGTAAGATCTTTTAAGGGATTTCACTATAGATCAAAAAACAACGAAAGAATATCTAATGCAATCTAAAAAAACATAGGAATTGCAAGTGTAATTTCCTCTAAAAAGAAATTAACATAGATAATATATATGATATGATAAAAGAAAAAGGGTAAAAAAAATGAGTAGAGTAATGTTATACCAATCAGTAAGTTATAAATAATTATATGCGTGTTTAGATGGGTGATGAATTAAATTTATCATAATTTTTAAAAGTAATAAATAGTTACTTTTTTTTATAGAGTAAATACTCGAATTTGATTTCTAATTTGGAAGATGGTGTCATATTAATTCCTGAAATTAACAATTGTTAAATATATCCTTGAAAGTACAAATTCACAATCATATTAATTCAAAATTCAAAAATATGTGTGATTAAAGTGATAATATTAATATAAGTAGTTAAATTAGGAATTAAAAAGATAATAAGTAGTTAAATTTTAGGACTTATTTAACAATTTTTTAGTTTTAGAAACTAATATGACAACATTTTATAAATTAAAGACAAAAGTAAATGTTATATACATACATACATACATATATATATATATATACTAAATTCAAAACAAGATAAATGCAAGCAACACTCTCATACATTATTTTAAACACTCTATCAAATTAATTAAAAATTTATTAGAAAACACAATTTAATGAGTTTCAAATCTTATTTAATAACTTTCTCCTAATTTTATAATTTTCAATAAATTATATATATATATATATATATATATA